TAATGATTCTATGATTCTATGATTTCAAATGTTTACAGAAGAATTATAAGAACACCTATTTTTAAGAATTTCTCTATACTGTAAATTAATAAAATGGATTTGGTTGGGGTTATTTTCTTCCAAATCCATATGTATACTTCTTTACGAGACTTCAGAAAATAACATATTTAGTAAATCTAAGATTACGCAGTGGCATTACTGGATCAACTACTACCTGGGAAGGAAAGAGCGATGGATCAATTGAACCTTGTGATTTTTTTCCAGCATCAACACAGTCAATTAACATTTTTTTCAGGGTCTCCTTCATCTCCAAAGCCAAACTGTTTAGCCACACCTGACAAAGAGATGAAAAAACCCCAAAAGTTACATCACAAAATAATTTCTCAAAGACACTTGAACTATATTTGGATGTGATTTTCTTACCTCCACATCATTTGACAGAAGAACTTTATTTCTAAGTGTCACAGTTTCTCCTTCTACAGACTTCATGGCAACTATGTATTTAAATTCTTCATCAAAGCTCACACTATTGATGCCTATTAATCAGAAAACAGCAATGAAGATATATCTTGTTAAAGTCAAACATTAATTCCCTAGTGTCTAGTAGCGGAAAGAGAGAAAAAAAAGTCTGCAACAGATTATTTAACTTTGAAGAGCCTTATTTCTAAATAAGTACATTTCACAAATGAAGATTAATGCATTACCAGCAAAAAGTTTTTTAAGATGAGACTGGATAACCAGAGGATTTGTGGACTGTCCTAAAATTTCTAGTAAGTCATCATCTCCAATGAAATAGAATCTTGGAAATGCTGAGCGCTTTTCCTACATAAAAATAAAACAAATCAGTTTTGTTAATTTCAATTCAAACTTATTGACTTTCTTTACAGAAAACTGTATTAATGTCAGCTGTACCTCCAAAAACTCATTCAGAGATCTCTGACATCTCTGAAGCTGGTCAAGTATGGTAATTAAGGTATTTCTTATTCCTGTCCGGGTATTCAGTGATGTTATCCTATTGTCACTCTTGATATCTGACATAACGGATCTTAACAGAAAAAAAAAAGGAATAATTCATAAAATAACCATTACAGTTTTAAACTGAATATGATATACATGTAGTTATGTAAATAAAAACTAAAGCACAGGTAAGTCATATAATATCTGATATACAACTTTCAGTTTTCAGTATTAATGACGAAACGTTTTAGAATTTACATCAATGTCTCTCCAATGTAATTTAATAACAACTGTTTCTTGCTAAAATTTCTCTACCTAAACCCGAGAAAATTCAATTCTTGACTTTTATTTCCTTCTAAGAAGTCATTTTAACTCAAATCAAGACAGATAATGGTACATATCTTTCTACATTTCTAAAATCTCCTCCCTTTTTATCTCCTTGACTTGTTTGGAACAAACAAACCATCTGTTTCTCCCAAAAGTCCATCTGGGTACTTTCTTAGTGAACAAAGTGCTTGTCTTCAACAAGAAATGATTTTTGAAAAAACAATTACATCACCTCTGCCTCTGTTGACGAGATTGATTTTGGGTTTGCCTGCCTTGTTCGTGATCTTTGACATTTCATGTGATTCCCTTCTTCACAAGTACCCCATTAAATGAAACCTACGTTACCACCTTTATTCAGATCTATGTCACCGCCACACATCTATATCTACTGAATTGCTGTTGCTGACCTTCATCTCCACACATATTCCAATTGTTCCATATATTTTCACTATGAAGAATGTTCTAGCCTACCGTGTAAAAGATACTACAAAAAATAAGTCACGTTCCATAACACTAACCTAAAGTCTTCATCAACTCTGTTAAAACGAGCCTGTTCTTTGGGCAGAGCTCCATGACCAAATATCGGTTCCAAATAGACCCATTTCCTTTGAATTTGGTTTAAATTCTGCAGATACTCATCCAACTCGGCCAACTTTTTTTCCCAAATGGACACTTTATCTTCAAAACCTTTGTAATATGGAGAGTCCTTGAGGGACTGTAGAAGACAGCGATGATCTCCAACTTGGTTGACTATGTCCTTCCAGTCTTTAATAAGCCTGATAGTCTTGCCTTGGCTATCTTCATAATCTGTTAATGTAAAGACAGCTCCAACTCCCCAGAGTTCCAGCTCACGTAATGCTTCTCTAATTGTGACTTCACCTTGGGCCCGACAATTCAAATCCTATTTAAAAGCATAAATAGATTTCATTTGAAACTGCAGAGCTTGCAATAAACTTTTGATTCAAAAATAAAACGTAAATTCTATTTCTATAGTAATAAAAATATAAATACGCTACAGAACAAGATATACTACATAAAATAAACCACAAAATAAAATAAAGTACCTTTATTTGAAATTAGTCATACCTTAAGTTCCGTTGCTTTTTCTATAATGGCATCCATCACTTTTAGCAGATCTCCAAATAACAAACCCTCAAGTGTAGTGCCTCGGGGAAGACCCAGAAGACGAAAGAGATCCAGCCAATGGTCTGGAGAAAGCTGTTCTCCTCTTATATATTTTAGGAGTGGAATGATCATCTATAGGAAAAACATGTATGTGAATCCATCTAGTCTTTATGAAAATTGTATCTGTTTGATTAGAGAGTGACATGGTATTCAAAGAAAACAAAAATTTACATTCTTAAACTGAAGTACATTTTTTTCAATTCCTGGATTTAACGTTTAGGTGTATAACTCTGAGGAAAACTGATTGCTAAATGTGTGTCTGTGTAAACTGTAATGACCCTTCTGTTTACTGTCAGGAACTAAAAGGTTCTCAAAAGTAAGTGAATCGTTCAAAACAGTATCACAAGATATTTTGTTAAATTGTAACTGATTTTATTATAAGAACTGAAAAATGAGCTACAGAATGAAGTATATTACCCAGTACTACCAAAACATTTTTTGTTTTACACCCCTTTTTGTAATTATCATCTTACTTTACATTTGTCCACTTCTTTTTGCAATTTTACTGTCATTACAGTATGTTGTTCCATCTTCCTCATTTTGTCATGCCAATTAAACAAGAATTCTTCAAATAGGTATGTTTTACTCCTGCGTGAAAATCAAATACAAAAAGGTCATAACAACACAGTACTATAACCATATAACATGTATGACCATGAAAAATAAAGTAACAAAATCATACCTAAAAGTAATCCAGTCTTCTTTGGCTTTTTCCTGATAACCTTGATAAAATTCTTCATACAATGCCCAGACTTCTGCACAACTCTTAATATCTTGACATACAACTTTTGACAATGAGAAGTCAGGCTCTTCCAATTTAAAATGATGGCATTCTTCACTGAATAAAAAGATCATTGTATCATACATTACATTATTATATTATACATTTATGGTTTAAGAGATGATATCATATGGAAATAATTACACTTTTTTAAGAAAAGCCATTGGCTTCATTGAAGAACATTGCTGCCAACTGCAATTTCCTTATAGTCTCCTTCTCAAATAGAAATAATAAAGGAATATCAGGGATAACTCTCCTACACAGTGACCTTCTCCCATATTCACAATTATTTTCCATAAACTTTCACTTCTTTCTTATTTATGAGAAAAGTTAATTACTTTGTGCCCTCAAAAATAAAGCTTGAAAAAAAAAAATTTTTAATTGACTGCTTCTTCCTGTTAGGTAGAAGGAATACGTTAATTTTATTTACTATCATATTTAAGGGCCAAATAGAAAACTTTGTCCACCCAAGATTTGTAATAATGAGCTTAATGAAAGTAGGCACCCAGCGGAAAAATCCTTTCCTTTTGCACAACAGTCTATCATATAGGACACTTACTCAAGAAATGGGAGAGGTGAGCTTGCGGCCACTTAAGTTACAAGAGGACTGAAGCAATAACTCCCCCTCTTGGACCAATACCCCAAACCTTCTCTTAGTGAGAACTTCAGAAATCAGAATCAAGCCTTTAGCGTACAGACTCCCTTACTTGAAAGCCTAAGAGAATTCTTGAATTTTTCATTCCAAAAAACTCAAGAAAAAGCTCGAGAAAATAATGTTATATAAAACGAACAAAAATGACCCTGAAAAACTAATACAATTAAATTCCTTATATTATTTGTTGCGATAAAATTTAGTTAACATTTCTGAGATACTACTGCTGCAAAAGATCCATACATTAATGAGTAATGTATACAGGGAAATAAACATACATGAGTTTTTCTTTCACGGTTTCAAGTTCATCAAATTCTTTCTTTTTTTCCTTTATGATCTGAGCACTTTTCTCAAGCACATCCTGATCACCTGTTTGAATGACATCATCGCTTGGCTTTAGCTGATCCCAACGAGCTTTAAACTTTTCCAGGTCTTGAAGATATATATTAATACGTGAAATCACATTTCCTTTCATTATTTCAATCTGTAAAGCAAGAGTTAAAATGAAATTCCTTCAATGGTTTGTAACTACAACTATGATCAAAATCAAAGTATCAGTTTCAAAACTTGATTAAAACTTGATAATTACAACTTGATCAAAATAAAAAAACTTATTGTATAATACCCTAAGAAATAGTTCACTTTTATTCTTCTGGGTTTTTTGAAAAAGGGAGCACTAATTTTTTTATGCTGGTATTTGAGACCTAATTATTTGGCCTATGCTACCTATTTAGCCTGCATCTTATAGCACATAGAAAAATTGCTATACTTGTATCGCATATTGGTATCTTCAGCAGTAACTCAAATTAGTTCAGCAATTTGCCTATGGACTAAAATTACAGGACTAAGCATAATTTAGCAAAATTTTGTGAAAAAAGAATAACAAGCATCATTACTAAAAACATGATAAAGTAATAAAAATGCTATCTTTTAACTATTATCCCAGTTTCCTCAGTTAACCATTGCATTCATTAAGGCACCTCTGTCTCCAGGAAGTTCTTTGAAACAGAAGTACAACAATGTAACATTCATTTCAGCATCAGTTCAACAGAAATTTCACCTAGTTATTGTTTAAACAGTTTAGGTATTCTTCCTTCAAAGGCTCTCCCTCAATTCAGTAAACGTTGGTGTTAACACTAAACTGAGAATATTATGGATTTAATCTAAGAAAAAAAATTTCTCCAGACTTATTCAAAATAATTTCAAGATTTTTAGGTAAAATATTAATCTTTCATTGTTACCTGTTCTGTAATCATAAGCTGGTGGCTTTCCATCATTAATTCAAACTTATCCCATGTAGCCCTTAGGTTACTGATAGTGTCCAAACCTGCACCAGCCACAGTTCGCAAAAGTTTGTTTTTATCTTCAGCCTCTTGAAACAGGAGAAAAATCTAAATTCAACATATAAAAAGTATGTGTGTATGTAAAAATTCAGCAAATCCTTTTTATCCAAACTATAAGCAAATACATAAGAATCAATAATTGTGTATGCACAGATTATATGTCTATATATAGCTGTTTTTTAATATTGTTTATAGAATAACATTAAAACATTGGAAAAAACAGAATCTGAGGTATTTAGAGAAATTCTAAGTCTTGATCCTGACATGAGATATACAGAAGTGAATGCTTACTATGAAATAGATAAATCCCTCTATATATTGCAGAGATCCACTCAACCAGATTCAAGAGCAGCAGCAGAGCAACAGAATTCAGTAAATATGTATATATGTGTGCTGGGTCTGGCTGGGATGAAATTCATTTTCTTCATAGCAGCTCATACAGTGCTATATTTTAGATTTGTGAACAAGACATGAACCTGTTGGAGCGGATCCAGAGGAGGGCCACGAAAATGATCAGGGGGATGGAACGCCTCTCCTACGAGAACAGGCTGAGAGAGTTGGGGTTGTTCAGCCTGGAGAAGAGAAGGCTCCAGGGACACCTTATTGCAGCCTTTCAATACTTAAAGGGGGTTTATAAGAAAGATGGAGACAGACTTTTTCATAGGGCCTGTAGCGATAGGACAAGGGGCAATGGTTTTAAACTAAAAGAGGGTAGATTTAGACTAGATATAAGGAAGAAATTTTTTACAATGAGGGTGGTGAAACACTGGCAGAGGTTGCCCAGAGAGGTGGTAGACGCCCCATCCCTGGAAACATTCAAGGTCAGGCTGGACGGGGTTCTGAGCAACCTGATCTAGTTGAAGATGTCCCTGCTCATTGCAGGGCTTTGGACTAGATGACCTTTAAGGGTCCTTTCCAACCCAAACCATTCTATGATTCTATATTCTAAGAAATACTGACTGACAATACTGGTGACAAACAAAATTCAAGCAGATAACCATGAAGTGACATATATGTGAAAAAATAAATTTCAGATGAACAGGTTGAGTTCTGAGCTAAGGACTGCAATTCAGGATTGATGTCTTGGGTTATGACAGCCAGTTTTAAAAAAATGCCAGCTTAATCCGAGCAGTAGGAAGTAAATCAAATTTTAGGAGTCACAAAGATAAAAAAGGAGAATAAAAGAGATAATATTGTTATTTCATCATACAAATCCATGGTTTGTTCATATCTTAAGAACTGTGCAAAATTCTGTGGTTCCCGCAGAAAAAGGTTATTGCGAAGCTAGAAAAGACTTACCAAAGGGCAACAAGGATGATCAAAGTTACAGGTGGGCTTATGTATAAGAAAAGATTAGGTAAACTAAAACTCTTCAATCTAGAAAAGAGATGGCTGATACAGGACACAACAAACAACAATACAATCATGTGTCATGAAGAGGAAGAATAGAGACTGATTGCTCCGTATCTCTTCCAATGTAAGACTTAAACGGTATGAAGTTAACAGAGGGCAGGTGAAGGAAAAAAAAAAAAAAAGAATGGGTCCTTCATTTCATGGGTAATCAACCTACACTTTACCAGAGGATATTTTGGATGTGAAAGGTGTATTTGCTTTCAACAGGAGACGAGATAAGGTTGTGGAAGAGAAATCCACTGAGTGTTACTATACGCTCACGAACCACATAAAACCCAAAAAGGTTCTGGTTGGAGGCTGGAAGTGTGGGAAAGCATCAAATACACTACCTTGATTTTATATATTTTTATAGGCAGCCACTTTATTCTACTGCTGGAGACAAAATACTGAGCTATGTGGACCACTGCATGTTCTAAACTAGTTATATTAAATATAAGTTTCCATACTAGAAAGCAATTACATTTTTTGATAGCTGTTGTTCTGGATATGATAAAATAGTATCTTACCCCTTCTTTTCGTTCATGTAGGTTTAAATATTTTAAATTGTCTTCTGCTATTTCATCTACAGTCTGGGGCCTAACCACTAACGTTTCCATGGCATCAGTGAGAAATGAAGAAACATCATATAGGTGAGCTGTATAAAAAGAGATGGAAAACAAAGTTATCATGGAGAAAATATTTGTAGTAATAAATATGCAAGTCAGAAAAATGTACTGTCATACAACATTGTCATAAGATATGATAATGTACACAAAGTATTTGCTTAAAAAATTGCAGACCCCAATCTTATATGCTGCTTCAAGAAAAATTCTATGTTTGTGTTTACACACAGTTTTTTAAATGTAATACACTGTGTTCAGTGTATGATTTAGACGGTAAGTATCAAAGTCCCTTCTGAGAATTAAACACAAATACCTAAGCCATTTATTTATACACTTTCAAAATCTGTATAGGTCTTCTTTGGGTAAATGGAGAAAAACAGATGTTAAAATTGTTTGGGGGTTTTGGGGGTTTTTTTTGGTTGGTTGTTTTTTTTAAAGAAACTAACTAACTAAAGCCACCTTGCTTTAAATATTGAAAAGATTCACAAACAAAAGCCTGATTAAGCTATAATGTTGTATTTTCCTACCAAGGTAGATCTTTTTGGTACTGAGAAAGGAGCTGTACAATTCCAGGAGATAATACATCTTCCAGGAAACAATTCATCTTTCAGGTTATGGAAATAATTCACTTTCTGCACAACCCCTGTTCTGTGTTTCCTGTGCTGATTGTTATATTTAAAGCACAAAGCAATGGTATTTCTCACCATCTACACCTTATTCCATTTTTTCTACCTGTTTCAGATATAGATAGGCCACACAAAAATAGAGAAATACATTGCTCTCTTTAACACTCCGCATTTTGATAATGTAAGCGACAAGTAACTCTATGGAATAAGTCTAGGTTATTTAAGACTCCTGATGAAATATTTCAATTTGTGAAAGAAAAATCTAATAATATGTTTTAGTTACAACATTTCATGATGCCTCCTTCAATTACCCTCAAATGTCTAAGAAATTTTCCTCCCTCAAAAGTCAAAGAAATTTTCCTCCAGACAAAAGAAACAAGCAAAATAATGTTCATATGTATTCTTTTAATATGGAACAGATGTGGCCAAAATAAGTGAATGCGAAAGATGCACATGGACATCAAGGGGTCTTAGGTTAGGCCTGTAGTGAAAAATTAGTAACAGATTACTTTCTCTGCAATGTGATTTCTGCAGCTCACTGTGGCCGAGAGTAAAATATTCCTTAAATAAAAAGAGTATTTACATTAACATAAATGTCCACAAGTACAAAAGAAACAAAAAAAAATCATTCATTAAAGTTATTTACCTTGAATAGATTTTCTCAAAGAAATGACAAGAACATCATACAACTTCTGGATGAAATCATCAATTACAGTTTTCAGAGGGTTGCAATTAACAGTTAAACAATCTATCCTGATGGTGCTTCAAGACAAAAGATTAAAAAATAGCAAGTATTCAGTAGTATACTTATGTGTCAATATCTCTAAGACCTATGCATTTCTATAGTTTACCCAGAATTTGTAGCCTAATAAGAAAAAAATTCCCTCATGATTCTACAAATAAAAGTCATGTCTTATTGGGAAAATTACTCATATTATTGAAATATTTATAACCGTTAGGCATATATATGCAGTTTTACAGAGACTAAGGTCTAATGCTCTGCTCCTCCAAATAGTTAGAAAATTACTTGATTTTATATAACCAATGTCACTAAATTCAAAAGGACTATTTCTATACTCAAAAAGAAAAATACTTTAATTATTTGTACAGTCATGTCTTTAAATCTCTAATTTCCATGAGAATGTACCCAGGCTTCAATAGTCCTAAGAACATAAGAAAAGACATACTGAGTTGTATCAATGCCCCATATCTAATATCTCACAGTGACTACAGGTAGATGCCTAAAGAACACTAAGAAAAGGGCTACCTTATTTGATACTTTCCTGAGTATCCTCCCTCAACACCAATTATTTTCAACTCATGGCACTTCACAGTCACATGTGATTTCTGGCTGTAAGACGTGTCAGCCAAGTTCTCTTCTATTCACTACAGTCTGTCCTTGAATTCATGAAAATCTTTACTACTCAGAATATCACTTAGCCAAGAAGTTCCACCAGTCCATTCTCCTGCATGAAATGCCATCTCTTTTTACTTGTTCTGAACATGATTCCCACCAGTTTCATTAGAGAACTCTAACTATGCAATACACTAAATTCCACGTGAATATATGTAAGAATAAAAGCCTACACTAGCATATCTTAAACTAAAAGTTATAAGAGGTAATCAAGTGTTTAAATACAGAAATTATTTAATGTATAAACATTTACTAAGTCTGTTCCCAACTGCCACATATACTCCACATGTACAGGACTTAGCTAAAAGAATTGTTAAAATATCACTGTGTTTTGTAGTATTTCAGAATGAGCCCTGAATTTTGAGGGGGTTTCCCATCATGTGAAAGGAAGACATCAAAAGTTTTCAGAGAAGGCTGCGCAGATAAAAGGGAATAAGTATCTAAAAATAAAACTGAAAAACAAAAATCTAAACAAAATCTAAAAAAAAATCTAATCTAAATTTTAAAAGTACATCAATATTTTAAAAATGCTTGAAATTCTATCTATATCTCCACGTAAAAAGAATATTTCTATTTTACTATTACCTTTAAAGTATCTGACAGAATACATTATTCAAACAAAAGAACAGAGTTACACTATACCTTGGAAGACGTTCTGCTTCTTTCCCTCTCACTTTTAATGCTTTGAAGTTTTTTTCCCAGTCCTGTTTGCTAGAAAGATGTGTCTTCACCAGAGCTTCCATATCTACTTGGCCAATTACGATCCATTCCTTTTCAACATTATTTTAGATTTCATGGAAAAGAAATATTTTCCAGACTAAAAAACTCTGTTTCTCAATAATATTAAAATACTTTAATAATGTTTTCAAGCTACATTCTCTTTAACCTTTGTGCTCCTTCAATTACCTACAGATTCTCTGAGTGCAAAAATCGGGAGATACAAAATGGTTTGACATATTCACACATTTAAGGATAATCAAAACAGATTTTGAATAAGAGTAAAAAGACAGCTATAATACTGAGGTTTCAATGGGAACTGTACATATGCTTCAAGCTAGGTATGTGCTTAAGTGGTTGGCTTAACACGGATGGACTTACTAAGCTTTTGCTTACATGCCTTGCAGTAAAGGACAATAATGCACAAATGTCATTGTTCAGTTACTTCTAGAATGTCTGAAGCTTAAAATGATACAAATCTAAAAGAAATGTATGGGTCAGTCAAATATTGAAAATACCTTGAATTGGTTAGAAACTTCTGTCAGCCTTCTGAACAAATCCTCTGCTTTACCGAAAGCGGTCAGAAATCCATTTGCGTTTCTTTCGGTCATAACAGTGAATATAGATTCTTCTTCTACTTGGCTTACTCCCCTAAACTGATTTGGAATGGAGATGAACCTCTTCATTTCTCTATAATATCTAGCTCGTACCTCTTCAAAAGGAGGTCTGAATTGCAACCGGCCTTGCCTAAAAAGTGAAACAAATCATACAAAAACTAATATTTGAATGTAATCTGAGCCAGAATACTTTCTTAACGGGGGGGGGGAAAAAAATCTTACTTGAATGTTAGATCAATATTTATTTCTGGTAAATTCTCATTGAGTGCTTCTAAGCCCATTTGATACTGATGCTCCAGAGCTTTGTAAAGTTGATGATTCCAGTGCTGTCTCCAAGCTTTCATATCACATGATTTGAAACCCTAAAATTTAACAGTATTTATTTTTATTTTTATTTTATTTTATTCCTCAAACCATAATTATAATCTGAAACTGAGCACAATACAGTGCCTGAAGACCAGGATCTTAGTAAAATTCAAACTATCAGACCACTGGAACAGGCTCCCCAGGGAAGTGGTCACGGCATGAAGCCTGTCAAAATTCAAGGACTGTCTGGATGATGCTCTTAGTCATATGGTTTAGTTTTAGGTAGTCCTGCAAGAAGCAGGGAGTTGGACTTGATGATCCTTATGGGTCCCTTCCAATTCAAGATATTGTATGACTCTATGATTCTATGACCAGTCTGACTATTAAGAAGATCTAGAGTCATTACATTTATTTCAAATGAATACAAGAATAAAAAAAAAATCCAAATAAAACCAGTCTCTATGGCAATTCAGCATAACAACTTCACTGAAGTTCATCTCCCATCGGTTTATTATGAGATTCTTCATTACTCTAAAATGCACAGGACTCTGCTAGAAATAAGATACAGAGCTGGCTGAATGAGAAATCTAAACCTGTATCACACCTTTTATTTTCCTATGATATGTAAGATACCTTTTAAACAGTATTTCAGAAAATTCTTGTGTGTTTCCCCAGATCAACCTTAACTAATAAGTAGATATAAGATTTTACCTTAAAGAATTCAGATTTTCATTAGAATCTGCTACATTGCACTGTAAGAATGTGTAAAGCCGTATTATACATTCAAGTCTGTAAATGGTCACTTGTAAGCCATCTAAGGATTTTCAAAAGGGCAATACAAGTTAAAAAAGAAATCAGAAACTTCTTCCAGCTTAACAGTTTCTCTTCTTACTTAATTGGATAGAGAGTTTCAGCCACGGCTTTGGAGGCAGTCCAAGGTTGCTGCAGGAAGCTATACAGTTAAGGTCTGCCCTACAATTCAAGGCTGCCCAGAGGAACTCTTCCAACAGAAAGATTCCAGAGATTAAGGAAATTTGAAATTGTCTCAATTAAGCCTTAAGACAATTATAAATAGGAGTTTTAAAAAAATATGTAAAATCTTGATGACAACAGTAGTAAGACTATACCATCTTGTAATTTTGGATGGTGAAATCAAGATACACTTGGTTAAGTTTTATCATTTCTAGTCACGGATAAAAAAAAGTGACTGAATACAGTTTAGTTAATTTACCATACGAAATATTCTGTAATACCAAAACAATTTTCAAAAAGATCTTAGAGTAAATATAGACTATTGATTTTAAGAAAATATACTGATTTCAAGATAAAAATTTGCAAGCTAAATTTCAGAAGAAATTACAAACCAAAAGCTGTATCAATGCACTTATTTATTATTCATATTACCCTGAGAAGATGGAAAAATTTATAAGAAAAATACAGTTGAAATACTGCTTTTATTTGACTGGCAAATACCAACTAAAATAATTTGGGTTTGCGTTAAAAAGGCTAAAAACACCACATCCATCTAAAAATAGAGCCCCGTTATTGCTGAATGTTATAGGAAAAATTAAACTGACTTGAATGGTACCTGAAAATAGCTTAGGTGATAGTAATATTATCCAGTTACTTTGATAAAATGATATTCTTTATCAAAATCTTAATCATTTTACTTAATGGTCTTAAGGGTCTTTTCCAACATAAATGATTCTACGATTCTATTCTAAAAGTTGACAGTTGATAAGTGAACAAATGAAAATGTGGCTTTTTCATTATTTCAGGCAGAAATGCATTTTAATTCTAAATTTTATAAATTTATAAATTGTTCTATTCTGCCTGGGGATCACTCATATCTGTACCGATTTCTTTATTTTACCTTGCGTTAATGGCTCAGACACAACTGATCTACATGACCTAAGGTTTTCCCATTTTTTCATCTAACCCCTGTCACCTCACCAAGTGTTATTCTTCTCCCATTACTAGTATGGCATAAAAAATATTATCCTCATCCTCCTCATCTGAGATTTTACCTCACATCAGGCGTCAACTAAGTAGTACATAGTCAGTTTTCCTGAGCTAGCTAGTAACACCTTAATCAAAATTAATTCAATAATGCCACGTTTGAGTCTTAAATCTTGATCACTGTTGAAAAGTCAAATGTTCACAGTTTGCGATATGACAATGAAACCTGCCTGTGACTCAAGGCTGGCAAAACCAGTTCTGAGTTCCTGGAGTCCATCTTTCCAACGCTGCTGCTGCCGAAGTAGATCAATATTCATGAGAGATATAACCTGTTAAAAGAATTTTAAAGGATAATAAACATATTCATCACCACATAAATAAAAGAAAGGGTAAAGTAAGCTATAAGAGACATGATTTCAATTTCACCTGGAAAATATACCTTTTCAATGAAGTTTGTGTGCCACTTTCTTAGCTTTCTATTTTCAGCGGAAAGACGTTCAGCAGCAGCTTGGAGTTTTTGGATATAAGCTTCCAATTCTCTAGGATTATCCCATGTTATTTGAGCTTTTCCTCCAGGACCAGATTTTGAATGCTTGAAAAACATACACCTTTTGTTAAGGTGGAATGACAAATATAGTCTACCAGTTAGCATACAGGAAGCAATAATATGAGAAAGATGGTTTTACTCCTAGTAAAAAATGGAGGACCTCTCTCTCACTACTGCACTAGAGACATAATAATCTGGCAAATCACAGACACGTGGGCATATCATAGCTACATCAATACACTGGGGAAGGATTAACGCCAGACTCTTAACAGACCTTGAAATAAATCCACTGATGTTGAGACTCCTGCTCCACACACATAAACAGACATCTTAAGCTGAGAGGACACCTTAAACTCCTCCCTTCCTCTTTGTTCTGCACAAACCAAAAACCAAAATGCTACACTAATAATTGCTATCCAACTTCACCTGTTTATCATGAAATATTTTTTTTAAATTACACTGTAAAATTCCACTAACTCATAAGCAGCTTTGGGGAGTTCCATTTCTCTGGGCTTTTTATTAAGATTCTGGGGGTTTTATCCATTTTGTTAAGTTTACAGTAAAAAATCAGAAGAATAAAGCATGTGACATTCCACAACTGGACCTATTCCTAAAAGACGTAGGGCAGAAATCACGTCAAATAGGAGAACATGTGCCTTTGAACACTTCTGCGCCATCACTGTCTTAGGGTCTCTACACTAAAGGAATCTGTGGCATAATCTGCAGCTGCCCAAGGAAAATTTAAAAGACAGTTTAGGAACTCTTTCCATGACACTTTCGAACATACAGTTTGGTCTAGACTCTCCACCATTTTGTGTGAACTAATCCCAACCCCAACATCCCTTCTACTTTCAGCCCCATTCTTATACTCTGCCTTGCAAAATGGTTCTCAGGAACAAGTTTCCAATTGTTTCTGTAATGCTTGCTCTGGAGGCACTATTCTCTTGCCCAATACAGAGTTTATGGGCATGTTTTAGTTTTCCAGCCATTCTCACATTGTAAGAGCGTTGGAAGAGGGTACAGTGCTTCAAACTGATCAAAACTAGTAAACTGAAATTCATTATATACAACATGTTTCTCCAGACATAAAATAGAGATATGGTGTTAAAAAACTGTAGATTGTAGTGTAATTTTTAAGTTCGTATTGTCCCTTCAAGGCAGAAAAATGAAAACAAATAAGTAAATTCCTCCAAATTGCTCCAAATTCCTTAAAAGAATCTAAAACTTCTTTAAGTACAGTGAACTTCTTAGCAATTATAAAAAAAAAGCTCTTCTCAGAGCAACTATGTTATGTCTGAACACCAACCCACTGTAACAAACTGCATGCATAAGTCAATAATCAGGTAGATCCACAGATTCTTTCTTCTTAATCTAAAACAGAAACTATCCACTTTCAACCTGCCCAAAATATGAATTAGAAATATTCAAGAAAATTATGAAATCCACAAAGATTTAATAAGTCCAAACAATGAAACCATTCCTTAATAATAATTTATCTTCAGAATAAAGTATATGCCATTTTTACTAAAATAGACCAAAATAATACTGTTTAGAACTGTTAAAACAGGAGTTACATTCCCAACTATTAAGGAATTGACCACATCGTGGTTCATGTGTAAATTCAAACACTAAAAATAATTCCTGAGAGAGCATATTACACTAATATCCAAAGTAAAAAGGAGTAAGCAGTTGTTTAAATGACAAGCAGTTGTTTAAAAAAAAAAAGGGCCTACTGGTTTCAATAAACGCTAATTAAACAGATGGTGTTGCTTGTATGGGAAGGCTGCAGTTAAAAAGTCCAGCAATAAACACAGAAAAAGCAGCACAGAATATGCACAGATACCACTGAAATTAAAAATACAAAGAGAGAGGAATTCTTTCACCTTAATTATCTGTTCAAATGCTAGAGCAGACTGTAACAACATTGGCTTCTGACTCTCAATCATTTGTTGATCAATAGAATTATAAAAATGTGCCACCTGTAAAAATGGAGAGATTAAATTTATAAGTACAGATAAAAATATTTATATGCCAATAAATGTAATGCAGGATATTTCTAAAAGTATTGCCCAATCAATAACATTAAGAAATGAGAATTAACTATACTACTAAAACGTTTACAAAAACAAAGTACTATGCAGTGCTAATGTGATCCTATCCTCTTCTAGTGACGAATTCTGACAGCAAAAAAGACATACTTGCACATGTCTGAGGTGATTATACTTCACCTTAAGTGAAATAGGATCAGTCTCTGATTTATTATAAGTGGAACAGTTCCACTATTGTATGCAAATGTAGGCACCTACTGCCATTTCAGAGGCCTTCAAGTATCCATGACATCCACCAGGATATGACACAAGACCTAAACAAGATCTGTTTACTTCCAGATTGGCAGCTGGAGTAAAAGGGATACCCTACAATTTGGTTTAGCTGTCCACACACAGACATCTAGTGCCTTTTGAGATGACTAAGGTTTCCACTCGGGCACCTGTCAATGATCCAGATGCATGGCTGTCTTGTAGGTCTTGTATCATCTCTGCCTTAGCTGTGCAAGGTATCTCAGATACCAATGACACCTCATGTGAAACTGAATTGAGCCTATGTATCTACATAAGAATTTTTACCAATGTATACATATTTATTCTTGCATCTTACAGTAACAGAAGAAAACTTGACATAGTCTTCAACTGAAATATAAGCCCAACAAAAACTTATGTAGCATTGAGTCCAATCAAAAAATAACCCCCCAAAAAACCAAACACACATTTCCATTAAAATACTTATTAATATATTTTCAGTTGAAAACTAGCAATGGTGAGGACAAGCTGATCCATTTTATGACATTTTCCTTCAGTTATAATAATCAGAAACTGAGACTAAAACCAGGAGATCAATGAATTACTTGTCTTATTTTTCTATATTCATACCATAACTTCACATGGCTTTAATACTATAATTCATTTGGTTTCAAAAGAAGACACATTCCGAAACTGTAAAGCATTTCTTTATTTTTGTTCTCTTTTAAGGACTCAGTTAATTTGTTCAAGAAACAAGTCACTTTCACAGAGACAAACACAGTGAAAAGCTTAACCACGCAGACAGAAAAGATAATAGTCTAGAAATGTTCTACTACTAAAGCTGGGAAGTCAGAACAGGAAGTTATTATGACATTTAATCTTATACCTGTTTGAGGATGACTGCCTGCTTACAGAACTTTTGAGCAGTGTTTGCAACATGCTGTATTTTAGCCGGTATAGCAAAACCAAGTGCTGATAGCTGACGTACTTCTCTTAGAAGAGTCACCAAACGATCTGAATAAAGTATGTTTAATGTTCCAAAAACGTGATCCAACTCCATTACAGGACTATTAGCTTGGATGCTAAATCAAAATCAAATTAAACATATTATTGAATATAATTTTATATTGATCCTTTCTTTGGTGCATTTTATAACAATATAATAAACAATTCTAAAAAGCTTGATGTCATTCTATTATGTTTTTCTATGTTTATTAACTTTTAATTTACTCAGAAGTTATTCTAGTAACCTTTCTCTTAATTCAAAGCTAGTGAAGACAAGAAAAAATGAACAATGCCTATTGGTTTTGCTCACAAAGTTTTCCTTGCTTGTTACAATAGTTAACATCTAACTCATGGCTAGACAGTATTTCTCAAACCCACTGGACCCATCATACTCTCTCAAGCAGGCACTTTACGGGCCCCAGCCTTCAGCACTGCAAAGGGGAAGAAATCCTCTGAGGGAACCAATTCAAGAACCACGACTTGGATCAGTGAAACATTTTAGTATACACAGTCAGATGCTAATAAGAACATCAGCCTATCTTTAGATTTTACTCCATTTTTTCTTCTACTGTAGTAATGCTTCTACCATCATCCTTTTAGGCTTCTTTCATAAAAACTTCAGCTTTACTCATTTTTTCACTTTTTTTCTCATCTTTTTCTAGTTCCCATATCCATTGCATTCCCCTTTGCAGTGAGCTACCTCTTTTCTTTTCCTTTTAATTAATCTCTTCATATCTTTTAAAATCTCACAATAACAAAATTTTATGATACTAACAAATTAGATGGCTGTTATATATTAGAGTGCTGAATCTGCTTATTTGTTATATATGAGTGTTTTTCATAAAATAAAAGTTTACATATAAGTATCAACTCCTGTATCCTCTGAAACTGCAGACAAGCCCATTTTTCAAAGAAAGTTTGCAACACTCAGAGATGCAGACAGAAGCTAAGCAGCCAATCAATTAAAAAAAAAAAATTGTTAAAATATATTTTAATATCCCATAAATTAATTTCATTATTTTGGGGAACACAATTCATGAGGTTTAAATTTATTTTCTTACCCTTCTTTCATCTGCTTTATTTAGACTGCAGAATTTCTTGTGAATAGCAATTTATTTGCTACTCTACATGTGTCATCTGTATATCACAGCTATATTCTAATCTCATCTGGTTTCTAGACATTATCACTATATAGATTACAATGGATAATAAGTAGTAACAACAAGCAAACCAAACAGTCTTTCATTCCAGGTGTTACTAGAAACTTCAAGATTAATTATTAACTGTATACTTCACCCTACCAACTAAGCCTGGCAGGATGATGAAATGATAATGAACTCTTCCATTTTGTTTCTCCACTCATTCTCCGGTCTATAATTTTTTATTTCCTTCATCAAGTTCTATTGAATTACACCATACTACAGATTTCAGCATAAACATTATTTAAACAAAAATGTATTTACCAAAGTCCTGACTTGGGATTTGATAATTCTGACTGGATATTCCTAGACCAATCATCAAATTGTTCTTGTTCATATAGTTTTAACTGTTCCAGAAAAGAATCTGCACTTTGATGAAAAATTTGAAATCCAGACAAGTCAGACAGAAGAGCCTCTGCCAGCTTGATAGCATCATCCACCTTAAACACAACCACAAAGAAAGGAAGCTTAACTCCCCAGTATTCAATTAGAAAAGAAAAATTACCACAATAAAAATCAGTATTATAAAACATCTAAGTGGGACTCAAAAAGAGATTAGGAAAAAAAAAGTAAATCCGGAATTGTGTGGCAGATGTTCAAATTCCCATCACAGTAAATTGGGTCTGAATAAGTTATCCACCACAGGTGTCTACCACTATTAAGATACCCCAAAGTATCCCACCTGGTCTTTAGTTAATTCTCCATAAAGGTGCAGATCTCCCATGCATTTTTTGTTGTATCTATAAGGTCCATGCCAATACTCAAAGGTATTTAGTACAGCCTAAAGTAGACACACGACTGACACGCATCAGCTGAACTGCTCTCTAGGTCTTTAGCAGATCAAGCAGAAGAAATAATTGTGAAACCTGAGCTGCTGCTTTTTTCTTTGTAGGACACACAACAAGGTAACACTTTTAAGACCTCCACCCTTTGTCACATTCAGCTGAAATGGGCCCTTGAGATTTCTGCAAATCAAAGGTGAATGCCAAAAAACTGGGCTAATAGTCATTCTGGGAGAAGTAACTTCTATTCTCATTCAAATCTATAGTTATTGCAAATGGCACTTATGTTTACAGAAAACATTTTGTTATTTAGCTTTGGAAAGTCAATACTTTCCAAAAAAAGTTCCAGAGTTTCCAACTAAAGTGTAAATACAAACTAACAAAAATAACATAAGTTAAAATAGAGTCAAACATTTTAAACTCGTTCTGTTGTAAGAGAACGCAAAAACATTTGACCTTTTCTTTTATTACAGTCTCTGTAGTAAATTCCCTAGCAGGTACTGACTCAAAAAAGTACTACCAAGAAATCCCTTTGATTTCAAGGGTACACTACACAAGTTAGTAATAACAAGTAAGAATTAGGATGTCAGAATCTGGCTATCTGTAAAACTTAAATACAATTTTAAAATGCAGACTGGGGGGTAAAATTTAACAAACACGCCTCCTCTCAGAATTTTGGTCTTTTTTTTGCCAAAAAAATTAAGTCATAAAAGCAGGCAGTTCAGTGTATTACGAAAAGACTGTCTTCTGGGTCAGTTAATAAAATTCAACTTAGCAAGCAGCACCACTGATAAGGAATCTTGATTATATAACTCTTGGGAAGTCCACAATTTTTCTGTGGGGAATTCCCCACAGAAATCTCAAATACCATGTTTTACATTCTATGATAATATTGTGTCTAAACAGTAACGGAATCTGTTACCTTCAGCTCCAGCTGCCGAACCCATACAATATTATTGACAACTTCAGAAAGATTTTTGCCTGACAGTGGTCCAGAAACATCACCAGGAACACCATGGCATCGAGTTTCAAAGTCTGTCTGATAGTCTAACACAAGCAAAAGATTCATGTTAGACCAGAAAGCTAATAGAACAAGCTTAAAATTATTGTTGTAGTTAGAAAAATATACTAGGGATATACTGACACAATTCTAAAAGTAAATAAAGAATTCTAGTATTTGCAAAAAAAATGATGCAATTAAATACTTTTAAATACATTTTACCTTTGACATAATCTTGAAGTCTTGCTAGCAATGTTTCCCTTTCAAAAAGCAATTCTTTGCTTATATTTGGATGCCTTATCAGTTCCTTATATTTCTGAAATGTTTGAAGAAGCTGGAATATGAAGTTTAAAAAAGTTATTTCTTTCTCCTGAAAAAAAAATTAAACATATTCTGACACTACTCATTAGTGCTGTTCGTAAGTACTGTCTTTGGCTCTAAGTACTTATTCCTGTGCTCTAAACTGACTACTTAAGAATTCAATAACTTTATCTTTAGGAAAGTTTTCAGATTACAAAAATACCCATACCTGCTGAGGACTGTCCTGAATTTCTGAAATAAATTTCTTCAATTTGCTTGCTATTTTCTGTTCTGCTGGTGCAATAATTCTTTCATACTGAGAGACTGCTGCTTTCCATAAGGGCTAGAGATAATGAGTTCATATGTTAGTCTAGGACTATCCATATATGTCACAAAAGGTCACAGAAAGAATGTGAATAAATTAAAAATAAGCATTATACCTCTGTGTAAGGATTATAGTGTACAGGATTTAGGCCAGCAAAGGGTTCAAACACTTGGGCAAGATATAAAGCATTTTGTTCTCCAGCTGGCAAAAAGAATGTAAGTTTTTCATGCAGTGTTCTAACAGTTAGCACCTATAATAGAAAAATATATTTGAAATATCCAACATGTTTTTACATAAAGCTTACATTTGGAAGCAGAAAGCACAAGCAGCACAACCCATCCCTCTCCTTTTTACAAGAAACTTCTGAAAGGCTCAGGCAAACACAGATTATGGAATGCTACCTGCCTCTGAAATGGCTATAAAAGTGTTTTAATTCCTTTTTTTAACCTAAAACAATGTTGTTTAATTCTGTGTCTAATGAAATAAATGTGTATAATTCAAATCTCTACCTCATCAAGACGTTTGCCAAGTTTGGCTAACGATTCAGGGAAATATTTCTCATTTTTCCATGGATGTAGAGTATAACGTTGCCACAGTTGTCCAGTTAGGTACTCACAAGCTGACACCCACTGCTCACAAATCAAGATGCCAGCCTTTAGATTTTCTTTAACACTGTGAAAAGCATCCTCCCACAAATTCAAAGCTGCTAATTTTCTCTGAACATATCTACCTAGCGCGCCACCTAGAACACAAAAAAGTATACAAAAGCAATGTTATGTTTGTTTAAAACAATTCCTTTAAACACTACACCACATTCCAATCATGTTTTTAGAAAACTAGGGTAATATCTTGATTTCAAACCATACAAATGCATCAATAAATGATTATTTTGTTTCAGATTCAATAAATCTCTTAAACATTTACAAGTTACGCAAAGGTTGGTCCAACATCAGAAGCTGATGGATTTGGATTCTGGAATCCACACATAAGCATCTGTCCTTATCAGCAGTAATGGCAGTAGCTGGCTGCCCCTAGCAATCCTTCCCCTCATGCACACACACATCTGGCAGCAGCAGACAAACGCACTGTCTTATGCCTGTCCCAGAACGTGGGACTGCTGTTGAGAGAATGAGAGAAGCAACCTCTCTGCACGTCCTGCTCTCACCTCCACACAGACTGAATCAACCTTCAAATGGGGGTTTATGTAAATAAATTTTCTCCTCTGAGAGAAAGACAAGGAGTCAAAGAGAAGCAAGACAAATCCAGTCCATAGGCTAAAAGGTATCCAACTCCACCTTGTTATTATCTATCATCTTCCCAAGCACGCGTGAAGGCATCTACCAGAACTGGCTGAATTACTGGATACTATAAGGCAAATAATATTCACAGATCATAATTACAAGAGGAAAGCACCTTAATGCTGTAGGCTATCACTGGTGCCTTTAGGAGGAGGAAGGTCTCTGCTCAAGGATTCATTTTACTTTTTCTCAACTGTTCATTTAATAAAGACTGCATAAAGGTTTACCTATTACATCCAAGAGATTATGCATGCGCGGCTGTGGATAAGGATCATGTTCTGTTTGGCTCCACACACCATCAACAGTATCCTTGGTAGTCTCCACCAAATCCACAACTTCAGATAATGAGAGACTATCCAAGTTGTAATAATCCTAGAAAAAAATATCCTTAATATGATTACTTTGCAACTAGTATTATAGAAACATTTAAACTTTCCTGAAGCTGGCAATTGCTATAGTTCCCTGGGTTTTATTGCTTAACAGAATATGGCATAATCCTCTCAAAAACAAGCATTTGTGTGTCCTGATTTTGGCTGGGATAGAGTTAAATTTCTTCCTAGTGCTGTGTTTTGGATTTAGTATGAGAAGAATGTTGATAACACACTGATGTTTTCAGTTGTTGCTAAGTACCTTGTCAAGGACAACTATCCTCTGCTACCAAGCTAGACTGGGAGGGAGCACAGCCAGGACAGCCAGCCCAGCTGGCCAACGGGGTATTCCATACCATGTGACATCATGCTCAGTATATGAATGGTAGGCGTGTTCCAGGAAGGACCGATCGCTACTTGGTTATGGGTCAGCACGGGCGGTGAGCAGTTGCATTGTGCATCACTCATTTTGTATATTCTATCATTATTGTTATTATTATTTTCCCTTTTCTGTTCTATTAAACCGTCTTTTTCTCACTCTTACCCCTCCGATTCTTTCCCTGTCCCACTGGGGAGGGGGGGAGTGAGTGAGCGGCTGCATGGTATTTGGCTGCCTGCCAGGTTAAACCACGACATGTGTAAGTCTGTTCATATGAAGGATGCATTAATATCTGAAGTGCTATTCAAGCAAGCGCTTTACAGGTGCCAAAAATTCTGCACGATAGCATTCATTATTATCAGTTTTCCTGTTTATAATTTCATGAGTCAACTTCTAGTTCACAAACTGTAGCATACTGTTTTATTTCTACAGCAGCTCTTAGTATTCAATGGTCAAATCTGCTCCCAATTAAATGCTGGCATTCCCCTGCACCATTGTCACTACATGAATGTCATTTAAAGTAACATTTTGCCTAAGAAAAAATAACTACATAGTTATATATCCATACATTTGAAAAGAGCATACATACGCTGACATATGTTTCATAAGAAGAGTGTTTTTCACTAAGTCTACAAATATATCATGGATCACACACAAAAGAAAACATACTTTTGCAATGTCCTCAAATAGGTCTTTAAAATGAGAAGCTCTCTCTTTACTACACCATTTACTTCCATGATGAGCACATTCTATCCAGAACTGAAATTCATCTGTTGGTGTAAGTATAGCTGCAAATAATAATGGAAAATGTTTAAATATGAAATACACGTATGGTCACAAAATATTTTCAATCAAAACATACGTTCTAAAGCAAATTTTTATTATATGGTTATGTAACTATCCTTCAACTTCCGACTCTGACTAGATCAAGTAGTATCAAGTTCATACCAAGAGACCAGAGTTGATCATCACTAATTCCAATCTACTCACCACAACCTGTTATATTTCACACTCTGCAGTCACTGGGATAATGAAGACTGAAAACTCAACCTGTAAATAAATTATTTACTCCTAATTTAAAATTAACTATAAAAGACGTAATTGCAAAACAAACCTCGCACATCATCTTCACTGAATTTTGTTCCTGTGTAATTAGGATCTGATCTTCTGAGAGCAGTACTCAAGCCAGCTTCAAGCTCACTTAAAAGTTTCTGAAGTTTGGGATCAAATGTTTTACTCCATCTCTCATCCTGCAACGAAAATTTCAAAAATTGTGACTCCCGTGATAGAACAACTACTATTTTCCTCCCACTAATCCTAAAAAAAAAAATTATTCAGATTAATAGCAGTAACCAACCACATGGTGGGACAATGTAATAATTTATTTTTCTTAAAGTCAAGGAAAAGTACCTCATTCTGTTCACTTAACAATTCAGAACAATACTGTAAAAATTTTTGTATCAAAAAGTCAAAAGTCAGTTGATGGATTTATAAAGGCGCTCTGAAAAGGTGCTCAAAATTCTTTGTTAATGAATTCTCTTAAATTTGGAGTCTACTCTGTAGTAGAATCTGGAAATTGCTAGAATCAAATATTAAAAGTAATTGTGCTTTTCTAAAATTGTTTTATTAATTTTATGACATGCAAAAGATTAAAAATATTTCAATGCTGAAACTCTGCTTGTTCAGCTTATGAAATACAGCCATGGTCATCGTTTTTGACAAAAAAAGGAATATATTCTTTACTGGAACAGAATGAAAAGCCTCAGAACATTTTAAAAAAGCAAAACTATGAAAAATGCAGCTGTACAAATTAATCTAGAGTCTAGCACACCTATCTGCCACATATTATAGAATCATAGTTTGCATGATACAGACCTATGCATTTCATATAAAATGTAAGAATATCTAAAACAAGAAAAGGACACAAGACTGGAATTACTGGTGAAAAGGAGGCAAGGAGCTGTTGTCTCCACTAACCACCACTGCCTAGTGCCCAGTGTATTCCACATTTCTAGCCAGGCATATATATGACCATAATCCTCCTCCCATCCTTACTGATAGGAGGTGAAGTACCTTCTTTACCTTAGAAATTAGAACTATCATCCATTATTTAAGCTCTTAAAATATTTTGGTTTTAAAACATAAAATATTTAGCTCAGAATAGTTAACATCCTATGGAATTTCAATGTTTCAATATAAATCTACAGAACAGTTAAATTGGTATATTACTAACGTTCAGTAATGCTGGTGCAAAAACCTGTCGTACAGCTTGATAAAGGGTGTTAACTGGCGAATCTAGCATAGATGACACAAGAATATTACTATGAAGATTATCTTCTGTAATTACATCAGGTCGCAGCTTAAAGAACACCAACACATTATTCTTTGAATCAGTAGCTTCAATCTGTAATAATCAAGAAGACAGTATTTGTTTAGAAAACTGTCATTGACTGCATATTATACTAAATTACGTACACCATTTACACAAATTATTTACATCACGAAAAAAATTATAAAATACTCTATTACTCCCTTTGGGCTCTGATAACATTCTGGTAGTATCTGATTTGCACAGAAAATGAAAACTTTTATTATACTGATTCCTGAGTTCATAGGAACCTGAATTCCAACATCAAATACGTAATGCCTTTTTCATTATAAACTATCTGTAAATACCATAATTACTGATGTTATTTTGGTTTGAAAACTCCACTTACCACTTTCTGGGGACAAACCAGAAACTCCATCTTGTGCCTAGAGAAAACTAAGCATGAAGTCTTATTGCATTTTTACGCTACATAACTTTGGGAATATTCAGTATTGTTCTCCTAAGTCTCCTAAGTAAATACATAACTCTATTGCAATTCATAGATTTGTCAAGGACAGAGAAAGGCATGCTCCTTTATCAGTAAAATCATAAGTTGTAACTTATGATTCTTGTTCCCTTCAGAGACCAACTTATGGGTAAAGTTCCAAAAATTGCCATGAAATCAATTATTGAAACTATTTATGGCCAAGAAGAACTCATAAAACAGGAGAACATTATCAAAGATGTGATAAAACAATAGCAAAAAGATACGCTAGCTGAAATCCCAAATTCTGTGCAATTGTAAACATCTGTGAACTTTTTTTCTGTTAAAAGAAAGGGCTAGTAAGAACAGCTGTCAATTTTACTGGACATTATCAGTTTTACTTTCTTATCAAGTCTTTAGCCCAACACCTACAGACATCATTTCACTGAGACAATAGGTATACATTATAGCCCCGATACGCATCTGATCTTCCACAGCTGCTGACAGTGGCTTTGTATATTAGACAGTGCCTCAGCAGCACACCCCAAAAACTGGTACACGTAAATGTTCATTCTTGCATGAATATAGCATGCACTAGACTTCACATACTACACAGACCATTACACCAGGAGGTATGTAAGTTACTGGTCCACACAGCAGTTCACATGTTAACGGCCCATTACCGTAATCTTGAGTGCAGAAAAAAAGCTGTCATTGACATAACAGACACCACGTCCCTGGTCTCGCAGCAGAATGATGGAATGCACATCAAGACCCGCGCTTTGCTGTACACTCTATGTGGCAGGCACCACACCGTGACCTGATTACATGGTGACATTCACTGCACATCACACCCCACCTATCACTCAGATGAGTCACTCACTGAACAGAAACACTCAGAGCTGGACATTTCACACAATGAATCTCAGATTTGCTCACAGCTGGACACATCAATCTGCAAAATGCATGATTTGGACAAACACCCACCTTGCGACCTGTCAAATATCAGCCAATGTGCCACATATTGGGCCACGTTTCCTGCATGGACATTGGCAATGCAACCCTTCCAGTCACCTGCACACACACCCTTGCCCAGGAACAACCCATACATCAGACTCCACCTGGCATTCGCAGCAAGATAACATGCCATTGTCCAGGCTGCATTACATTCACACAGCGACAATATACAGCACACTAAAACTACATATGAGCATGGGCACAATCCACTAACAAATACATCACACAGCTGACCACATGGTCTTCACAGACTCTTGGGCCAGTAATTTATGCAGCAGACACTGAGACGAGCCTAGATATTTGCTGGACAGGCAGATGTCTCCCAAATCAGATACCAGCCTTTTATGACCACTACACCGGGGCTGGACCCCGGGCTCTGCATCCCCACTCACACACCGGGATGCGGTGGACACGCTGGCTCCATAGGTGCCTGCACACACTCGGCTGGACACTACCGTACCCTGTTGGATGCGGTGAGCTGGGTGCCCGAGTGCTGCACGACGAGGAGGAACTCATTGCCGTCGTCCAGGAAGTTGGTCAGCTCCGGGCGGGAATGGAGCCCCGCGGCCAGGGCAGCGGGACCCACAGCTGGATCCACTCCGAAGTAGTTGGCAGCCGCCGCCGTGCCTGAAATAAAGCGTTTCCTTTTGTCTCCCTCCCCGGCCATGCCGGCAGGACGCACCCGCGCCAGGCAGGATCAAGGCGGCGGTGGATCCCGAACCCCACGCGAGTACATGGAGGGCTGACGGGAGAAGACCCAAAGGGCGGGCGGCGGGAAGGACGGCGGCTCACGCGCGGGTACAGGGCGAGGTCCGAGGCCTCCCGGCGTCCCTGCGTTGCCAGGACCCGTCACTATGGTGACTGAAAATGGCGGCCCCGGCGCGCCCGCGAGCTTGGTC